TTCTTTTAACTATTGCTAAAATAGTGCTTTACTGCGAAGGATGGTGCACATATTCGTTTCATAACCGCAGTTCATATATATGTATTTCATATATATTTGTTGTTTGATAGGCACGTCTGTTAACAAATTCGGCATGCATTTAGTCACCCGTTTCCTTTTTAAATTTTCTCTCCATTTTCATCGATTGAAAATGAATTCCCCTGGTAGATGAAGATTCCAAAATCATAACTCAATTTCTGGGTTATATCCATTTGTATTTTCAGCTTCCCTCCTTTCGTTACCCGTCCCGCTTCTCCTGTGACATCATCTTGACATGCGCTGAGCTGCGCGCTGAGCAGTGAAGTCCTGATTGGGTAAAATAATTAACAATAAATTATTCGCTCAAGACGAAGTGAATATTGTTGAATAGTCCCTCATACGAAGTCGAGGGGATTGCTCAACAATGTTCACCGAGGCTGAGGAAAATAATCGTTTGAGTATAATTACTCAGGTACTTCCGAAGACTTCGAATTCTGTTGTAATAACTCTGTAAATGAAGGGTGTATGTCCCCATACATGACGTACTACGATACATGACTTTCTCCCCGCTGACAAAATGACTCTGGGCTCGTTACTCGCGGTATATTTTCGCGGTTTCAGGAGAAGGATAGTCTTTCGGGATATTTTCCTTCTGACTTGAGCTATACCGCTGTTCCTGCTGCTCTGTGGAAGTAAAAATCCCTTTAACATGGCTCACAACTATGTAGTGACGGCTCACAAGCCAACAGCTGTCAACGCTGCTGTAGTTGGTAATTTTACAGCCCCAGATGACCTTAATTTGATCATTGCAAAAAACACTCGTCTAGAGATCCATGTTGTGACACCAGAAGGCTTGAGACCGCATCTTGACATTGGAATATATGGACGAATTTCTGTCATGGAACTTTTCAGACCTGTGGTGAGTCTTGCAACGTTGCTTGCAGTGTCCGAAATGATGGTATGCATGTTTGATGCGGTGATTTTTTTGTATTGAAAAGTCCCCTGCCATGTGCATGCATCTAAGACTTATGATCAACTGAAACCTTTCCTAATTACAAGGTGGACACAGGGATAACTGTCTAACAATCAAGAGCTTCTTAAGTTGCTGATCATTTCCTTTATTCTCACGACTTTAATGTGTGATTCAGAGGTGATATGTTGAGAGAATTTAGATGTTAGTCACCCTTAGGGTTAAAGTGTTAAAACATGACTTCTATACAAATGCTGAGATCTTGATCAGGTAACCTGCCATTTAGTAGGTCATTGCTTTCTCTAGGCTATACCTTCAACATATTTAATTGGATTAATTGTTTCTTGTCTTTAATTTTTTTTCTAGAATGAACCTCAGGATTTGTTATTTATTCTAACAGCAAGGTACAGGGTGTTTATACTAAGTTACAAGTCTGAGTCTGGAGATGTTGTTACCAGGGCTTGTGGCGATGTTCAGGTATATAAATCCATGCATTGTATCTACAGCAAAAGACCAATCATGTTGAAGGCAGAGCTCTTAAGTCTCACACATTGAGCTTGAGACTCACTCAAGTGAACTCAATGTTACGCCCTCATTCTAAAATGACTATTTCTCATGCATTTAAGTTTTCTGATCTAAACTGTTGATTTTGAGATAGCAAACTGCTGCTTTAGTTAATACCTATAAAATTAATTATCATTCTGGAGGTAATCTTACTCCTTGTTTTTCTTTGTACTTGCTGTACACACTTTCCAGTAACTGGAAATTATGGTGCAGAGCTATCATTAAATCCGTCATTGTGTTTAATAACTAGTGGACATGCTCATATGCTGATCTTATAACTTAGTCTCTCTCCACACAAGCTCAGAAAAGAGGGGTACATGTCTTAGCTAGTTAAATTTTTTACACCTTTCTATGTGATTATACCCCATCCCAAACCCCCCTCCCTCATCCTGAAATGGGATGCCTGTGGAGTCACAATTGATGGCTATGCAGTAAAAATCTCACTCTTTATCAGCAAGTCAATGTGATTGCTCTGTAAAGGGCTCAAGCCTAAAAGTTTTTGGGCTACCAGAACTCTACCATGACTTTAGTGAAACGAAATGTGCTGGTTGTTTTTTTTTTTTTTTTTTTTGCTTCATCAGGATCGAATTGGCAGACCTTCAGACACTGGTTTGATTGGCATCATAGACCCACAATGCCGAATGATTGGTCTTCGACTTTACGATGGACTATTTAAGGTGATACCTCTGGAACTGGATTCAAACAAAGAACTAAAAGCATTCAACATCAGGTCAGGCTTTTGATCTTTTTTTTAACCCTTTTAACTCTATGAATGACCAGCTTTTAATTTCTCCGTACAGTAATACTGCTGAATCATTGATTGAGTTGATGAGAATAAATGAAATGATCACCAACTTTAAAAAAAAAACTCTTGATTATTTAAGAAATTCTCCTTGTCAGTGTCTAAGGAAATGTTGAGGGAACAGTATGGAGAATATGCATACTGATGCTAGGGTGTAAAAGGTCAAGATGTGGGCAGGTCTTTTCTCTTAAACGGTATTTTAGAAAAATACAGTGGAGTCCTATTTTCCTAAACCACAAATATTTCAAACTTCTTGGGAATTCAAACTGGTGGTGTCAGTGCATTAGCTTTTAGCTGTGAGTGGTTGTTAGCAATTTTATCCTGGACTCCTTCAAACCAGAATATCTTGAAAATCCTCTGATTGCAAACCGAGTTTGTATTCCTCTATATCAACATCAACAACTGCAAAACAATTAAATTTTATTGGAATTTTTTTGCTTTTTTTTTGTTGAAAGAAATCTGAGAATTATTGCAAAATGATTTTGCTTTTTATGGCTCTGTGCTTGGTCTGGAAAACTCAAGCCCTCCTGTCAAGTAACCAGATACAAAACTTAACCCTAACATGCAAGTTCTCTTAACTGTTCTCTACACATTTCCTATGGTAGTTATAACGATAATATCTTTAATGATCAAGATCTTTTTGAGTTTTCAACCTCTTTGTTTATCCTCATCAACTTAATGTTCAATTCAGGGCTAAACCGATACAGACTTGGATGGTCACGAGTTCCACACCTAAGAATGTTGCTCATGTTGATTTACTAAGCTTTGGTATGGTGTGGTAATATCTTTGGTTTTGGTCTGGCAATACCTTATCAAAATGCATTCTACCTGATTAGTATTACCATCAGTGTGTAGATTACAGAACCTTGTTCTTCTGATTTGGCGTTTTTACATGTATATCCATGTCATGATTTTAAAACCCTCTAATAGACCAATTTCAATATATTTCAACGTGAGAGACTGGTAGCGAAACTTGAACACCTAAGCGAGGCTCCGGGGAACAAAATTCATTCGAATCGAGCTTTGGTTGTTCACATCTTCGAGCAGAAACTGCTTTCTTGGGTTATTATCGTTTTTCTAGTGTAAATTCGTAGTTTCTTTGAGTTGAAAGTAAATGGAAGTAATCATCGTTGTCATGGCCACGTCAGAAAAAAAAGTGAGATCAATCTACAATACTTTCAGCATCAAAAGTTGCTGTGGTTGGTTGCGAACCTTCCTTCAAGGAAGAGGGATACAAACATCCTCGGAAGGAAAGTGTAAAAGAAAGGCCAAGTTGGTTGAGCTTGCGTTTAATGCTCATTCAGTGAAGCTCCCGAAAGTGACTGAAGGGGAAAGTGAAAATGAAAATCATATCATGGCCAAATTACTTGCCACAGACGAGGGTGTTTTGCCAGACCCTGCATCCATATTGAAATCGAACTGGAGTAGGAACCTCTCGATATTTCCAGAAGTCACCTTCCCAGATATATGCAACTATCTTCTGGGGAAGGCCAATGAGTACTCTGAAGAAACCTTAAAGTCTTTTAAAAGCCTAATGGGTTTAACATGCCGTAGAACATTTACCTTTGGG